GATACGTAAGGATACGGCACAAAAACCTACAAGGTTTCTTTACGCTAAAAACAAACGTTTTTAATATTTGCGCGATTTTTCGGTTTTTTTACGTCCACTCGATAGAGCAACAGAAAATACTAAGAGCTTTAAATTAGGGTTGTTTCTCGGAACAGGCCGAGATTCGGAACATTCGGAACAGCAACCGTTCCGACTGTTCCGAATGTCGGAACGCTCCGAGATTCGCGTGTTCCGGCTGTTCCGAGATTCGGAACATTCCGAGATTCAAATGTTGCGGTTGTTCCGAGATTCATAGTGTTCCGGCTGTTCCGAGATTTGGCTGTTCCGACTGTTCCGAGATTCGGAACAGTCCGAGATTGAGCTGTTCCGAGATTCAAATTTTTTCGCATGTAAATTTCCAAACACGACTGAATTTCGATTCGATTCGATCCCCAATTCGTTCTCATTTCCTTAATTTCCAGATTCGATATCTAACCATCGACGGAATTAAGTGTTCAGTTGCGCCCACACTGCCGTGTCACGGCAAAATCGAAACAGTTACGTGCAATCTACACAATTTACACGAAATCGAAATTTACATGCGAAAAAATTTGAATCTCGGAACAGCTCAATCTCGGACTGTTCCGAATCTCGGAACAGTCGGAACACTATGAATCTCGGAACAACCGCAACATTTGAATCTCGGAATGTTCCGAATCTCGGAACAGCCGGAACACGCGAATCTCGGAACGTTCCGACTAGTCTTTGTTCCGAAAGTTCCGAATCTCGGTCTGTTCCGAGAAACAACCCTACTTTAAATACAGCTGAAAATCATGTAATCAGAAAACATACAGCAAAAACGAGGATTGCTTCCAGAAATGGACTTGAAGTTAGGGAAAAATGAACCAAAAATCTACATAAAAAGAGTTTACAAAGAAAATGAAGAGCCCCAAAAAGGAAAAATTAGCGTGTCTATCACCGTATTATATTATCAACGTAGATTTTTATTGCTTTTCAAGAGGCTCCTTATAAACCGCTCCAAACGGCTCCAAAACATGTGAGAAGCCGTCTGTTTTAATGGGTGATTCGCATGAGCCGGGGTAGAAAAAATCAGAACATTTTTCCAGATGTGCTTTGCTGCCTTGGGTAAGAGTTTACTTTACCCCCCCCCCACAGCCGAAGGGTCTCGAAGTTTTCGGTATATTCTTATTTCGTCGGGATTTTTGCAACGCCATTCGATAGAGCGTCGAAAAATATACTAAGAGTTTTAATTTGAGCCTACAATAATGTAAAATAAAAAAATTATAGCCAAAATCTTCCGGCTGGTGGGGGGGGGGGTAAAGTAAACCGTAGCCCTGCCTTGAATAGTCCTTCAGTTGCGACAACTTTGTTACCGTTTCGTAAAATGGCAACCCAAGACAAGTGATAAGCGGAATACGAAGGGTCAAAAAACTTTTGAATGTTCAGTTTCATGCGAGTTTCTGAAAGTTTCGAAGGGATATCTAGGCATAAAAAGGTTAGTAGATATTCTTTGGGTAAAGGCAGTCTAACAGAGGTTATTTACGAATTGGAAAACCTCCCGAGCGAAAATCGGGCCAGCTAGCAGAGATTATTTGAGAGCATCACGATATCACGGAAATTCCAGGAAATGCTGCATTAACTCGCAGGGCAACGCGATGCTCCGCAACTACTGCTACAACAACCAGACCGGACTCTGCGATCAGACCTAGTTTTTTTGTCATTTTGTATGTATAACCAGTAATTTATGCTATACCGTACCTTGATCTTAGAAATCCTAATAAAATTTTTTTCTGTCATTAAAATTTTTTTTTATCCTTTCCAAAGTACGCTGACCGTCCCAGACAAAAATATCTGGACTTTTGAACAAAAAATGGTCCCACAGATCAGGGCAAAAAGCGATAAGCCACGTCGTTCGGCCGGAAAAAACGGGCGATTTTTGCGTTTTACGGCGGTCGCGAGTACATAGGAGTAGCGTCTGGCTATAAATAGGCCGGTCAGGGGATCAAAGAGTCAGAATTCTGATCCTCGGACTTCTAGCTGTTATGGTGAGTGCTGTTTTGGCTTTTTACGTTTTTTTTTCGGGGTACGATAGCCTAACTATCAGGTTGGATAATAAGTTCGGTCACAATTTTTGAAATCGCAGATGTTTCCAATTCTGAAGTATGAGGTATGGATTGATAGGTCTCACAACACTCTATTTTGGGAGGACCCTCAGTTGACGCGAAAATTGAGGGACGTCGAGATACAGGCCCGAGAAGGTTTTCGCAAAATTACGCAAAAGCGTGTTAGCGAGTTATCTCTGCATACAGCAATTTGCATGCAATACGGCTAACACCAACCGATAGCTTTCGAGGAGTAGATATCGATAGATGTTGAGATCATCAAAATTGGACATCGGATGGCCGAGATACGACCCCTTGAAATTTGGCCCATTTCTTAGAACTTTTCCCAAAATCCCATACATTTGGTCAAAATGCGCTCGGTTCTTTTGAACATCAAGCGGTCAGTTTTGGCTGCGGTCTATCAAATGTATGGGATTTCGGGAAAAGTTCTAAGAAATGGGCCAAATTTCAAGGGGGTCGTATCTCGGCCATCCGATGTCCAATTTTGATGATCTCAACATCTATCGATATCTACTCCTCGAAAGCTATCGATTGGTGTTAAAGGTATCGTATGCAAATGCCTGTATGCAAAGATAGCTTGCAAAATAGGTTTGGCACGTTTTTGCAGAAAACTTCTCGAAGCTCTATCTCGGCGACTCTAAATTTTCGGGTGCGAGGAGGGTCTATGCAAGGTAGAGCTCGAGGTGACCTATCAAACTATATATCATACTATTAATTTGGGCACGTCTGCAGCTTTAACAAGCGATTCCAAAAAATTGTGACAGAACTTATTATCCAACCTGATAGCAGGGTCATTCGGAAGTTGCATGGGTGCTAGAAAGAGCAAGCTAGCACTGTTTCTTGGGGAACTGGGCAGAAAGGAACTCTTTCAGAAGCCTTTACAGGAAAGACAGGCTCGCAGAGATTACAGGTTGGGGAATAGAGGAGCAAGCTAGCAGAAACTCTTTAAGAAGTTGGCGAGGCAAGCTAGCAGAGATTATCACGAGCGCCTTAAATGATAGGCAGGCTATCAGGGATTCTGGAGAATCGGAGGGAAGGGTCGCGGGGATTCTAACGGAATCCTCCAGTCATTGGCAGGCTAGCAGAAATCCCTTGAGAAACTGGAGGCGCTAGCTAGCTTAGCTTCTTTCAGATTCCATCCATTTTTTAGCGTAACCTCGTTGTGTTCGTGACCCTGTTGGCGGCGGTGATCACCTTCGATCAACTACCAACTGTTCCTACATGGTCGCTTGGACAACGCAGGGATACTTGCAAGGTTTGTGTGTGTGAGGGAGAGAGAAAGAGAGAGAGAGAGAGAGAGATACAGAGAGAGAGAGAGGGAGAGAGCTAGAAAAACCTATTTTATTCCAGGACTACTGCATGGGGAAGTTCATCGCCGACCAGACGGCCTTCAACTTCCTCGAGAGCGGCTGGGAGATCTGTGTTTGTCCGGTGGCCCAGGAGGGTGGAAGGTTCGTAGCCTGGTTTCGTAGGTTCTCGGTTGTGATTCCGTGACCCACCCTCCATGGTATTTTTCAGCTGGTATCTGTCGAGCTGCTACAACAACTGCTACAACCGCTGCTTGAACACCAACGGACTGTGCGCCTATAACCAGGCGTTGAACACGGATTACAGGGGGTACGGTTTTGTTATCTTAAGGGGGTGAAAAGTTAAAAATCTACCCCTTTATCGGACTAGGTATAAATAGCTACGGATCCTCAGTATCGAGATCAGGACAATTTCAGGAGATGCTGCATCAACTCGCAGGGCAACGCGATGCTCCGCAACTACTGCTTCAACAACATGACCGGCCTCTGCTATCAGACCTAAATTTTTTTGTTTGCAATTAATAGTGGGAATAAAATGATAATATTTCGATAGCTATTACAGTAATAGAGCTCGTAAAACTACAAAAATTCATTTTTTTGAGGCGTAGGATTTTAGCTGAGGCGCAGCCCCTAAATCCCCTCATGCTTTAATAATTCGTGTTTCCTAATTTTTCCTAAATGTTCAGGTATTTCAAAGAACACAACAATCCTTTGAACGACTAAGCCATTAATGGGTTTGAGAAAACGTGTAAAATGACCTCACGACACGGCTAACGCGATAAGCACAGAGTCTGCCGATCAAAAAACGGGCGGATTGTTGCGTTTTATAGGTTTTGTGAGTAGATTGGAAGCGATTCTTGGTATAAATAGCACAGTTCGCGGGTCGAGAATCAGAATTCAGTCGGACTGGTATCTGATTCGGCACCTCTGCACTAGTAATGGTACGTTTTTTCAGAATACAGTACGAAAATAGCGTTGGCTAGCAGAAATTCTTTGGGAATTTTGAGGTTAATTTTAGAAATGGTTGCAGGGATGGGGGATCCAGGCACTTTGGGGAATCAGAGTGATAAATTCTTTCAGAGGCAGAAGGGGAACTAGGCAGAAATTCTTGCCGAAATTACGAGCTGCAACCAAGCCCATTTTTAGCGTTCTCTACTCATCTTCGCTCTCCTAACGGCATCCGTGGTCTCCTGGATGCCCTTGCCGCTTCTATGGTCGCAGAAACAGAAAAAGGACACCTGCAAGGTCAGTTAGGGAAAAAGATAGTGCGAGAGAAAGAGAGAGAGAGACAGCGATAGATAGAAAGAGAGAGAGATAGAGATAGAGAGAGCGAGAGAGAGAAACAGAGAGAGAAAGAGAGAGAGAAAGAGAGAGAGAGAGAGAGAAACAAAGCGAGAGAGCGAGAAAGTGAGAAGGAGAGCGGTAAAGAGAAAAACAGATCTATTAGGAGAGGTTTTCGTATTTGTTCAACGTATTTTCGAGCTTTGCGTATGTGGCGAGACCGAGTCGTTGCAACGGTCGATTTGAGCACTTAGCAGTCCCTTGAAAAAGCTTTTTTTAGGACTACTGCATGGGGAAGTTCATCTCCGACCAGACGAACTTTGACTTCCAAGCGGCCGACTGGGAAATCTGCGTTTGCCCGGTGGCACAGCAGAGCGGAAGGTACGTAGACTTATAGATCCTTTACCCAAAAATGAACAATTTTCAGTTGGTTCCAGTCGCAGTGCTACAATAATTGTTTCGACCGCTGTCTGAACACGATGGGGGCGTGTGCCTGGAATCAGGCTCTAAACCTCAATTACAAGGGGTAAGGATGTACTAAGTTTGGTGCTTCTCCTTTAACGGGGGGACTACTTTCCCGCCAAGCGGCTAATAATGTACAGCGCATGTTCGTAATAATATGACTCAATAACTCACAATTTCAGGAGATGCTGCATCAACACGAAGAACAACGCTAACCTCAAGAACTACTGCTTCAACAACCAGACCGGTCTCTGCTACCAGACCTAAATAATTTCAAGGTTCTACTGTAAAATAAAGATACAACGTCGCGTTCCTCGTGTCGCTACCCAACCTCAAGGAAAGGTAGATTTTCGACTTCCACGCTCCTTTAAAGCGTTGTTGTCGCGTCGCGTGTAGCTCTTTAGGGAGTTATAAAAAACGCTCAGATGGAGATTGCGAGAACGAATGAGAGAGCAAGATAGCGAGGATTTGAGTACGAGAGAGAGAGAGAGAGAGAAAGAGCAGGAGAAGTGGAGAGCTGGCAGCCGAGTGCGTGAGAGTGAGAGAGTGAGCGAGAGGGAGTGACAGTGAGAAGCTGAGAGAGTCGGCAAAAGGGAGAGTGTGAGAGAGGTAGAGAGCGAGAGAGCGAGAGAGACAGATAGAGAGCGAGACACAGAAAAAGAGAGACAGAGAGAGCGAGAGATATAGAGAGAGATGGAGGGAGGGAGGGAGAGAGAAAGAGAGAGATGCAATAAGCGAGAGAATAACCGACAAGAGGTCGGGTGAGGAAATGATCAACGAGATCAGGAAGGCGCGCTGCTGCGTTTGCGTTCACGGCAATTAAGCTGAAATATTGCTTTGGTTTTATCAAAATTTCTCGGTCTGGATGCACCAAAAATCCGCTAAAACATGACACCGCAGAGATCACCATTTTCCACAGTTTTATTGCACTTTGACGCTTGCGCACATTTTTTGGATTCCGCTGAATCGGTCTCGCAACACAGTTCCAAAGAACAGCTCTACACGCGAACCGTTTAAGCTCGTAAAAATGATATTTGTACCAAATGGCCGCGCATAAAAAGTGATAAGCGAATGGCCGACGCTTGAAAAAGTTCAAAGGATTTCTGTGCAAAAAAGGGCGAGCGCGTTGCGTTTTATGGGTTTGTGGATAGTTTGCCAGCGTGCTTTGCTATAAATATGTGGCGGGAACGGGTCAAGAATTAGAATCAGGGCTTGCAGCTTCTTGACGAGTGGAGGAATGGTAGGTCTTTGGGGCGTTTTTGCAGTATTGGGGGGACTAGTTTTCCCTGGAATTGATTTTTCCTAATCGAAGCCGTGGGCTAAACAGTTTTTTATTATTCGCTATTTTTATGTTTTAATTGTAAACAGCTTTTGGTATTCCTAACCGCAAAAATTTTACAAATTTTATTAAAAATGGCAAAAAATTGTTTTTAGACAAAATTAACCGAGTTTCGACAAAATTTGGGATTTCGCGGTGGGGATTATCGCTGTCAGCATTTAAGCTGTCGGCATTCTGGTTGTGTGGATCTTGGTCGTCGGCATTATGCCTGGGATTCGAAAACGCCGTATTTTTGTTATCGCTAGCCAAAACTAGGTCACGTTAACTAGTTGGTCACCACCCAGGGGCCGCTGGCAACTTTCGCAAACCGCTTATGCAAATTTCGGTCAGCGTGCCCGGGTTTTTTAGCGGAACGCTGGAGCGCCCTCAACAAAAACACATTTCCAAATTATTCTCTAACTAAAAACAGCTACTCAATGGCTACGGTAGGCAAAATTATCGAATTTTTCGTGTGTTTTAAAGGGATTAGGAAGCTACCAGCCTACTGTAATCAAGCCTATTTTTAGCGCAACTTCACCACGATTCTCGTCGTGACGCTGGTGGCAGCGATTTTCGCCTTTGATCAGCTACCAAGCAACTATTCGCTGAAACAGCGGAAGACCACATGCAAGGTACGCTTTTTCATATCGTAATCGTTTAAACCTGAGCGTGTAAAGCTCAAAAACTACTTTTCAGGACTACTGCATGGGGAAGTTCATCTCCGACCAGACGGACTTCCACTTCCAGGACGCCGGATGGGAGATTTGTGCTTGCCCAGTTGCTCAGGAGAGTGGAAGGTACGTATTGACGCGTAACGTACGGTCGATCGTAGCGTAGCGTATCACGTCACGGATCCTAACGTACAGTTTGGCGTCGTGCGAAGCATATTCTAGCGCGCAGTTGTGTGTTGCGTGGCTTTTTACCTAGCGTACAGGAGGGGTTTTTATCGTACTACATCGCGCGTTGCGTAGTATCGTGCGTAGCTTATTCCGCATCGTGTTGCATATCGTACCACATAACTAGTTTCGTAGCGTTTATCCGTCCCAATCTCTTACAGCTGGTTGTTTAGCTGGTTCAACTCGAAGTGCTACAAGAATTGCCACAAGCGATGCCTGAGCACCAACGGACTGTGCGCCTGGAACCAGGCATTGAACACCGACTACAAGGGGTACGTTGATAAGCTTTAAAGGGACTTGGCAGTCGAAACCAAAATCAAGGATTACAACATTTTATGACCCTTTTAGTCGCTGCTGCTCGAACGCGAACAACAACGCCGCCATCCGCAAGCAGTGCTACAAGAACGGAACTGGGCTGTGCTATCAGACCTAACTTATAAAGCGTGTCTCGATCACTGTAATATGTAAAATTCTATTCATTAAGATAATAAAAAAATTACTCGTAAATGTCCAGGACAACAAGCAGAGCGAGAGAGTATGAGCGATAGAGAGCGGTCAAGAGAGAGAGATTTACAGAAAATGCGAGAGATACACAGAGAGAGAGAGAGAGAGAGAGAGAGAGAGAGGGAGTGAGAGAATGAGAGGAGAGAGCGAGAGTGAGTAAGCGTGACAGAAAATGTGATAGAGAGAGAGCGAGAGAGAGAGAGACAGATAGAGAGAGATCGTACCTCAGATCGTACCTGCCATCGTGCCATCGACCGTACCTTTCCGCGTGTTCGTGTTTTGTTCTGTTTGTACAACACCCGCCTGATAACACGAAAAGAGGCCAAAGCTCGATTTTGTCGAGAAGTCACGTAGTTGCGAGTCGAAAAGCCAAATGGCCACACGGGGGCGGAGAACCGAGCTCCAGCGCAATTTTTGGAGTTTCGCTCCAAAAATTAGTTTAGAGATTAAGAAGACAGCCAATGTTGAATTGCCGCATTGTAATTACATGCAGAATACACCCGCCTGTTTCCTTGGTTTAATGGTTTAAGCGGCGTGGCGTTTCCGTTAAGTGGGGTATTGCGATTCGTGAAGCCTTGCGCGTTGGGTTATGAGGCGGATTTTACATCAAACGCTGTTTCTTGCCGTTCGTGTCGCGTTGCGTGTCGCGTTGCGTGTCGCGTTGCGTGCCGCAATGCGTATCGCGTTTTCTAACGCGTGGCGTTGCACATTGCGCTTCGTAGTGCATTGCGTCGCGGCGGAAACGTATCTTGAAATTCCAGACAAAATAAACGACCCAAACAAGCCCTACCTCGACCCACCCAAGCAAAATCAAATAGCCAAAGCACATTTTTACGATGTTCAGTGTTGCCTTTTCTGATCGGCTTCACCCCTCCTCGAGTACTTGTCGCGATAAGCCCGCGCTGCCTAAAAACGCTGGACTGAACATGGCGATAGTCACGTAGACCTGCAAAATACGAAAAAACGACCCAAGCGGCCCCGTGTTTACGATCTGGGGCAAATTTTAGGGAGCTAAAGCTCCCCGAAAACCTGACTTTTTGACCGGGATTAGCATAAAATCGCGCCGGGGGACGGCTGCTTTTTGATGCCAAATTTTCCGGCTAATTGGAGGAGGTCAGCGCTGGAGGGGATCGGATTTTATGTGGAGAGTGGGAGTGCGAGTACGAGTACGGGTGCGTATAAATATGGTAACTGGGAAACCGGGGATACCTGATTCGAGCTACCGTTCAGCCAACGCATTCACCATGGTAAGTGGGTGGGGGGTACGGTAAACGTTGTTTTTTTTACTTTTTTTGCGATCTTCAGTGATACGGTAGCGGGGTCTGCCTTTAATTTCAGGACGTTCCACAACTTTTGACGGGCTTACGGTAGCTTTGGTTTAGCCGCTATCTTGCTGTAAATTTTGAGTAAAAAACCTGCCTTCCAGGAGAGATTACGGTAGCTGAAGCAACTGTTAGCAATATTTTTGGGATCTTTATCGTTGACTTTAAACTAAATATTTTTGACAGATAGTAAATCGATCAACTTATATTCTCTTGCATGATTCCTCCTTAATGAGAAAATTAGTTGATGCTTTTTTAGCGGCATCTTAAGTTTATTTGAGGTCGAGGTTGGGGTAGTCGCGCCAATCTTTAGTGTTAAGTGTAAACCAAGTAACTTTGAATTGGGTTACGGTATTAACTTTTAGTCCTTTTTTGCCGAATTGGATTTTATGCTCAGGGATACGGTAAATCAGATACAATTTAGTTTCTGTCTGAATTCGACCTGTTCATAGAGGCAGGTTACGGTAGTACCGTCAGCTGTTGTAGTGTGTAGTCTACAGTAGGGTTGTTTCTCGGAACAGGCCGAGATTCGGAACATTCGGAACAGCAACCGTTCCGATTGTTCCGAATGTCGGAACGTTCCGAGATTCGCGTGTTCCGGCTGTTCCGAGATTCGGAACATTCCGAGATTCAAATGTTGCGGTTGTTCCGAGATTCATAGTGTACCGACTGTTCCGAGATTCGGAACGTTCCGAGATTTGGCTGTTCCGACTGTTCCGAGATTCGGAACAGTCCGAGATTCGGCTGTTCCGAGATTCAAATTTTTTCGCATGTAAATTTTCAAACACGACTGAATTTCGATTCAATTCGATCCCCAATTCGTTGTCATTTCGCTAATTTCCAGATTCAATATCTAACCATCGACGGAATTAAGTGTTCAGTTGCGCCTACACTGCCGTGTCACGGCAAAATCGAAACAGTTACGTGCAATCTACACAATTTACACGAAATCGAAATTTACATGCGAAAAAATTTGAATCTCGGAACAGCTCAATCTCGGACTGTTCCGAATCTCGGAACAGTCGGAACCAGGGCTGGTCATTTCGGACCCGGACCCGGACCTACCCTAATTTGCATGGGTCCGACCGGGTCCGGGTCCGGGTCGGTCCGGGTGGGTCCGGGTGGGTCCGGGTCATTTGCATGATTTCCGATGTATAGTTTTGATCCGTTCTTAGTCATTTTTCAAGGACTTGCTTTCCTATTGGTTTGGGTTTTGTGGGTTGG